ACAGGGCTGAGTTTCTGAACATCCATCCCAGGTCTTCTGCAACCTGTAAATGCGATTTATCCCCGTTTCAGGCGGCTGTACACAGCCTTCCTCACACCAGATAGGAGGAAGGTAGCGAGGGAGCTGGATGTTCCCCCTCCCGCAGTGGAAGCGTCGCTGACAGCACTCCAGTTTCCAGCGGACACTTGACCTTTCACTCCTCGGTGCTGCCTGTAGCTGTTGTGTTGGGAACAACTGTCCTTGGGGTGCTTGGCTGAGTTCCTGACTCCTTTTGGATTGGCATTTCTATAGAGGCACTTAAAGCGAGCCCTGGATTTTTAGCAGCATCAGAAATGCGGGTGCATGCAGAGGGAACACTTGGCAGCATGAGAAAAAGCATCCTCTGAGCCCCAGGGAAGGACACACAGGGTGAAGGTGTCACTGAAAAGACTCAGAACCTGCGCTGGCCCTGGGGATGGAGTGTGGATGTCACCCAGAGCACAGGGGGAGCCTGGGCTGGCCCTCGCTGGTTTGCCGAGGAAGGAAACAAGGCAACACCGCGGGGGAAAGGAAAAACGTACCTCTCACATGCTCAGGAAGCAGATGCCAAGCTGATGCTTATCCTCATCTCTTTAATAAGAGGTCAGGGCCTGCCCCTGTCTTGCTGTCTGCTTTTGAAACGCACTCGTTTGGAAATAGCTCCCTGGACGCAGCAAACAACATTGCGGCCAGCCGATGAGATTGAAGGAACGTTCCCCCGTTCCCAGTTCCTGTTATCGGTACATTGTGTTAAGAGGGCCAAAATATCACATCGTGTTTTTACACGTGATAAAGCAAATTTTCACCAACCACACCAGCAGCCTCTGACGGCCGGGGGGGTGTCGTTGTCCCCCCCCATGTGCTGGCTGGGCACGGGGGTACAGGGAGGGCTTTGGAACAGGGGTTTGCACCAAAGGTGAACGGCTTCATGCGAAGCTTCCTCACACGATGGATTCAAGGGGTAAACGAGAAGTTTCCTTCTCCCTGAGCTCTCTCTGCTTGTTGGATTTTTCAGCGGAGTCGTTCTCTGACGTTTGCTAAAGGCTGAGCACACCCTGGAGTCTCGGGGTAGCAGAACGACCACGGTCTCTACTCTGCCCCCCAGCCCTGCAGCCGGGAGCGTTGCCCCCAGATTCATGCCACTCACCTGGCCGCTGTTTTCAGCTGAAGTTATAATGCCTTACTTCTTAAGAAACCCAAGTTCCCAGTGAACTGCTGAGCACTTCTGTAGATGGGAATTACCTGCAGAGAAAACTCTTGGAAAGGAAAACACCTAGAAGGGTAAAGCATCCCCGGTGGACACCGCGCACCGTGGCGAGCTCTTGGCCGTGTGAATTGTCCAAGGAAGAAGCTCTCCCGCCTGGAGCCTCTGGGCATGAGCCACCATGCAAACGCCCAAGTTGTCGGCTTGAGTGACTCAGAATTCCTAAACTTACAGGGTTTTGTGCCCGAATAGACAAACGTTTTCTGCAGAGGAGTGCTTCCTCTGACCACTCCCGGCCCTGCTACCCTGGCTGTTCCTCCTGCCCCCGTGCCGGCCCTTGCTTTACCGGGATGCTCCTTTTCCACCAGGTTGTTTTCCCTCCAGGCCAGTTTGATGGTTTGGCTTCCTCAGCATCCCTGTGCTGCAGCAAGGTGGCAGGAAAACACAGAGAAAGCGGGACAGGGGAGCTGCTGCCAGGCAGGCTGAAACTCTGGGGTCATTTCTTTCTTCCCACCTTGGATTCATACACGCAGGCTCGATTTGGCAGTCTTTTCTTCCTAAAATCTCCCTGTTTTGGGGGTATCTTTCAGCTCCCATGGAAAGGAAGGAGGGACTGCGTTACTCTGACATTCCTGAGGAGAACAACATGTTCTCACTGTTTTCATTTCGTTTGTATGAGCCATCCTAAATAATGGCTGGACACTTTTCCCGCACGTCCACCTCGCCTCCCACCACAACTTGCTATTCTACGCAGTAGCCAAGCTAAAAAAGGAAAGTTACTATCGTGCCAAAAATGCAACTTTGATAAAATATGAGGGGATAAGTCAGTATAAGCGTGACTGGCTCAGGATCCAAAGAGAATAATGTGGGAAGGATAATTTTACTTTCTTGCCTCTCACGCCTACCAAACGCCTGGGCACAATGAATTCCTAAATGAATGCAGTAAACACCTAAGAGCCAAACAGATTTTTTTTCTTTTTTTTTTTTTGCTCCCATGTAAAAAATGCTAGGCAGTGAGAGCAGGACTGAAATTATATCCTAAAAGATGTCATATTTTCACCCCGCAATGCATGATTTCACAGGTTTAGATGCTTTCGGATCTGTGGGTTTAATGGCTCTGATTTGGAGAGCCGTACCACGTTGAAAGGGAGAGGAGAACTCTCAGTCCGTTTTCTGGGTTATCCTACACTCCCACCACCTCGAAGGGGATGCTCTTACGTCCCCCGGCCTTGCAATGTGAGTATTGAGGGAGATGAAAAACTCTTTGGCAGTTTCCAAGCCTACAGTGCCCAGGACAAGGTTGGAAAGGGTCTTCCTGCAGGCTTTATTCTTTATTCTCTCTGATAAACAGTCTATTGTACTTTTATATGATAGTAACATTTTCACACTTTCTAGGATACCCAGAATCAATGCTTAAAGCTGTTGAACTGAAAAGCAGCCACCAAACAACCCTCCATGAGTTTATAATGCCCCTTGCAGCATCAGGGAACACCAACCCCTGCTTCAGGAACAGGAGAGACTTTCTTTGCTACTCCTTCCCCAAATGCTTGTCTGCAAAAGGAGAGGGAGGAAGGAAATGTAGGTCTTGCATCAGTCAGTTTTGGGGAACGTCATGTTCTAGTTTCTCCAAAAGAAGATCTGAAAGTCCATTAAATCCGGAGTAGGATTTGGGCATTGTCAGGATGCAGGTGTGCCTCCGGGGCTGAGCAGAGAGGATTATACCCTCCGGGCTGGACGGGATGCAAAATTTCCACAGGTCTGGCATGGGGAGATCCAGTTTTTGTGTCTCTGGAAAAATCTCCCTTTTAAAAAAGGAAAAGCTTCTTTATCTTACAGCACCCAACTACAACACCAAGTCAAGATGCCCACGTGCTCATGAGATGCCTCATAAGATGCTCCGAGGCTGTTCACTGCCCCCGTGCACTTCGGAATTTCCAGCCCACCTGACCTCCATTGGAAAGTCTATCTTTTAAATATGACCGCTGTAAACACTCCAAATTTTAATGGGCGGAATATCTTCAAAGAGGATGCTCTGATCTTCAGAAAGAGTCATGGTTTGATAGAGGTTGTTTCGCCTATCTGCAGCGGAAGTGGAGGAATGCACAGTTTATACTAAAATAATGTGCACTTGTCCTAATCGCAGAGACTTCTGAGCCGCAGCCAAGCCTTCTCACGTCATTGCAGCCCTGCTGCGGGCTGTGAAGGAATTATTTGCCTCTTCACACTTTTGATCTTTGCAGAAAGGAGCGTGTGGCATTTCCAGCCCAGATGTTCACAATGTTCCTCCTGGACCCAGTGGAGAAGTTTCTCCCTAAACGAATCCTGAGCCTTATACCCAGATCAGTAACGAGCTCCTTGTAAAGGTAAAAAAATTGAATAAACGCAACGAACCTGGCAGGCACTTTGGAAACCTCTTGATTTGGGGGTCAGGAAGCTGTGGGTCCCGCGGGTGCATGGTGGGGACTCGGACTTGCTGCACCACTGGTGTTAATGGTGCTCGGCAGAGAGCTTGGGACACAAGAAACGTGTTGGCTCAGGGTGCTGCAGCCTGTGAGACGTGGTGGTGGGGAAGGTCAGGTCTGAGTATCGGAGCTTTGACGGTGGCTAAGCCCGGCGGAGGCCACACGCTTCTCCTTGGGGCTCTCTGTGACTCCCACCCCTCGGCCAGGCTGGTCCAGCACCGGGGGCCCAATGTAAAGGGAGAACCGTGACCCTCACGGAGATTTTAAACTGCCAAGTTCCAGATTTGAAACATTTTAGTCAGATTTGGTCTTTGCAGGAGCAGAGGAGCTTGCTGGGGGTCCCCTGGCGTGCCGTAATGCAGTAACCCCATCGGCCCCCAGAAAAATTTAATTCCCTGGTGTGAGGGTCTGTGGGCCAGGCGGTGAGGAGCTGCGTGGTCTCTGGGCATCCTTTGGAAAGGAAACCCACCTGGAGTCAGAGTCTACAGGCTGAATGAGCTACTCGTGGGTCAGAGTCTTAAATACAGCTCAACTTTCACAAACTTCTCCTTTACCAGAGCAACGAGTCCCCCAGCAAGACAGACAGCAGCAAGTGCGATATACCCAATATTGACCTTTATTCTCGAACCTCCCATCTCCTCTGTCTTTTCACAGAGTTTCCTCTGTGTCCCTTTCTCTCACTGGTTCATTTTGCTCTGCCGAGCAGGTCTGCAGCCTGTCTGGAGCTAAACTTTGGTATCACCAAAGCCAGATCCTCGGGGGCTGTAATCCAGTGTTGTTGCATGAACTTCACTGTGTTTGGCACAGAGGCACGTGTTTGGTCCTGGAGATCTTGCTTGAAAACCCCTGCAGACCTCTGTGTTTTATCCTTTTCTGTTCCCACGGAGGCGCTAAGCCGAGCTGAGGCTGTGTGATGCTGCTCCCCCTTCTTAACATAAATGAGGAGTAAAGGATTTCGTGCAGAGTCCTGTAATTTTCTTTTTTACACCCGAAGTTTCAGCAGCATTGCGGTACTGCTAGAAAGGCAGCTTGCTGGCAGGCAGCGGCGAACGCAGCAGGCAAGCTTACAGAGAGCCGCACGGGTACCATGAGACCATCGGTCCAGCCAGTTTTTACACTGATGGCAGCAAGTGACAGGCAGGGACCCAGCGTCATCGCTGGGGTGCAAACCCAGATCTCCACCAAAGCAGCTGAGGAAATCCTGTAGCTGATGAAATGATGAAAAACAAAAGCAGAGGTGGTAAATAAGTCCAGATCTACTTTTTTTTTTTTTTTTTGGAAAACCGTCCATCAGGGAAAAAGCAGCAGCTCCATTTTCTGTACAGGGTAAAGGTGGAGTCCCTCTGCGCAGAGAGCTCTGTGCATGGATGCGGGAGTGTGCTCTCCCAGGTCTTGTCAGCAGCTGCGCTGGATTTGTGCACACGCGGCTGTAAGGAACGGTGATCGGAAATAACTGAACCGCCACTTGGCTAAAGAGGGTTTTGAGATACTGTGATCGGATAGCTGGAGCCTCGACACCGATGAGTCTGGCACAGCAAGTGATGCTGTAGGAGGCTTCTCGGTGGACCTGACGAGCTGTCTGGGCTCCTCTCGCTCTCTAAGAGCAACAACCAACCGCATGAGTTAACGTGAACATCTCAGCCGTGGTGCTGACAGCATCTGCAGCACACTGCACGATGGGCTGTGCCACTCCAGACCCTGGGGCTTTTCTCTCTCTCCAGATCCAGAATTTATGGGCTTTTTGTTCCACTCAGAAGCACTGTGGGTATCTCCAGCAAGGAGCCAGCCAGCTGGCAGGAGGGATGCTTGTTGGTTTATTTTTGTAAAGGCATAATGTGTCCTTGACCCGAACTCCTGAGCACAAGAGGTATTGGCCTTTTCTACAGGCATCCTGAACAGCCAAAACAGGAGTTGAATAAAAAACACACCAGAAAAGCTAAAGAATATTTTTGAAATTTCCTGTTTCAGAGCATAAACCAGCCTCTAACTTCTGGGCTCCTTCTTCTGAGCCAGCCTGTGGTCGGTAGCAGAACACCAGACAATACAAATCCCTGGCTCTGATCCTGCTTGGCAATTCCTGCAGACTCATGCAGCTGCATTTTACCTCTGTGTACAGCTGGGTGTCTTCTAGTTAGTTTTGGCATCGATTTTGCTCGTGGATTTAGCTAAGTTTTTGATCTCCTCCTCAAGCATCTTGTTTTTCTTCTCCATGTCCTTCCGTGAGCGCTCCACATTCATCAACTTCAGCTCCAGTTCCTCAGACTTCTTCTTCTCCCTCTCTATGTCCTGATTCAGCCTCACCACTTTGGCCCAGACTTCATAGTTTTCCTTCTCGAGACTGCAAAGAGAAACAGAGAGTGAAAGGAAGAGTGCTGGGAAATCACCATTTGGCCCTTGAGGAGTCTGCCCTCTGGGCCACTGAGCAATAAAATGAGCCAGAGGTGCTGTGCTGATGCCCTCAGCCTCGATGGCCACGTAACACGATGCAATAAATCAGTACACACGGCACGTAATCCGATGATAACAGTATGTGAGCCTATACAACACCGATGGTTGCTAATAATACTAATTACCGATGATAACTAATAATGCAATAACACTACTGCTGAATCCTGACCGGTAAATGGTACGATATTGTAGTAACAACAAGAGTTATGAGAGTGTAACTATTGCAGAAGCTTTACGGTGCCATACAATGATGTGATGGGCAGTGTATTCGTATTGTGGTAATACAACGTTAACAGCTGCGTGAGGAGAGCACAGCGCATGAGCACTGACTTTTGGACAGCCGGCTACAATACTTTATTGTTAACCGTTGCTATCATACACCACAGAGTGTTCCTGGGAAATAAACCTGTGCAAAACCAGTGTGGGAATAACAGGAGCTGAAGGCTTCGCACTCTGCAGCGTATTACCTTTTGATTTGTTCCTCGTAGTCGTTTTTCTGTACCTCCATTTCTTTTTCCAGCTTCTGGATGATGCTTTGCAGGAATTCCCTGCTCTCCTGAGCGGGCTTGGAGCCCCCGGCAGGGCTGCTGGGGGGACTGGCTATTTCCTCTGGCTGGGGACTGGGACCGGGGCCGGGGAGAAATTCCTTATCAGAGCCGCTGCTCGACGGGCTGGGGACACTTTCTGCCTGGGAGGTAGGAACATTGTCGTAGGTTGACGCCCGGTGAAGGTCGAGCAGCTTAAAAAGATCGTGAGACAACGTTCTCTTGTGTCCGTCAGGGGCCGCGGAGCGCGCGCCGCTCCCAGGGCGGCTTTTCCAGAAGTCACTGGCAAATATGTCATTTTTGTCATTGCTGCCTTTCTCCCCCAGAGAAGCAGCTGGCAGGAAGGATTTCCTGTTAGGTAAAGTCTGAGTTCTTTTCCTTGACTGCGTTTTCCACATTCCCAGCGTATCTTTGGACACGTTCTCTTCTCCGAGGGCTCTCGAGCTCGCCGCTGGTCCGGGGGCACTGCTGGGATGCAGGTCATCGCTCTGAAAGAGAGCCGTGGCATCAGGACAGCCTCGTCCTGCTCCGTGAGCAGAGCCAGGCTGCCGCGGCTGCCGCGGCTGCAAGGTTTACAAAAGGCACATTTTAACCTGCTATCGGGAAAAAAAAAAAAAAAAAAAAAAAAAATTATTTGGGGTTGCACCGTGTTTTCCATTAGAAAGAAACTTTTGCAGAGATTCTTTCTGCGAGAAGCCTTTAATCCTCAATGTTTTCACTTCACCGGCATGAACTGAGAGGGTTTCATCTATTCTGCCTTTTTGCTAAAAATCTTTAGTTCTCTTTTTTTCCCAGAACAGTAGATTTTCCACAGGAAAGTGGAAAGTTTATCTCCATCATTTTCCTGATGTGGATATTCCAGGGATGACGGTTACAGCTCGTATTAATAGCAAGTGCTTTTAGTGGCTGGCTGACCTGTTGGATCCCACAATAATTAATCACACATTTATTAAATTTATGTTTTAACGCTTCTCTGAGGACCTGGCCTTACCGTTTGGATCAAGCTCTCCGCCCTGGACACCGCAGGGTCCTCTGCAGCGTCCCAGCCCACGGAGCTGCGTGGGATTGGGGCTTTCTTGTCACTTTTGTGGGCTGGTGGGGAGGGCAGCTCATCCTTGGATGGGGGGAAGAGGTCTGCGTGGTCACTTATCATCACAGTCATCACTTTCTGGATCTGTGGCGTGCCTGGAAGAAACCAGAGACCTGTCAGCAGCAAACCCAATGCGACGGGCTTTCTTCCACCCACACTTACATCTTCTGGTTGGTTTTCCTGGTGTCTCCTCAATGGAGACGCCCATAGAAAGGCAGGGGAAGAAAAGGAGGAGGATCATAAAACCAAGTAAATGGAGGGGATTGTCACATCTCCCCGGAATAGCAGGAGTAACAGAGCAACCGAGACAGGAGTCTGCTCGGCTGCACCGAGCCCCAAGCAAACGACAGGTATCAGTGACACCGAAGGGCATGCGCGTATCTGCACCTTTTGCAGGTGATGTCTGTAGAGCGGAGCAGTCTTTGGCCTTCAAATATTTCTTCTATTCATTCTGCTGCATCTGTCCTTGCCCACGGGATTACAGTCTGGCTCAGTTAAACACTAATTTCTTTGAATTTCCTTTGTTTCTCTAAGAAGAATTTTGCACTTTCCTGCTCTAAGCAAAGGGAAGGTGACTTCACCAAATTCCTGAAATCTATGGAGGGAACACACAGTGCAGCTCCTAAGGGGTATTTGTCACCATAAATGCATTTAGAGCTCAACCAACACGTGGCTTTGCTGTACCCTGCTGTACTTACTGCGCCCCGGCACGTGTCTGCCTTATATCCATGGGTCTACTGTAGAAAATTTTTAATTTCAAGATTGTGGATGCAACTATTTCAGCATATCAGGTGCTCCTACGCCAATTATTCCAGGAGTCCCTTTTACCTCTCATGATAATTGCAGGATCCTCTATCTTGGGTCTGATGAGGTTCACTCCAATCACCGTTGCCAGGTTATCCACACTCATCTTGTTGACGCTAGAGTTCAACTGTATTTCGTGTAGGAACCTGCCAGAATCCAAGGGTAAATATCTAAAGTCAGCGAAGCAAGACTGCAAAAAGCCTTACACACCCACTGGTATAAAGTCCTGATTAATCCATCCAGCTCTTCCTCTAAACCCCAAGGACAGAAACATCTAATTGCCCTTTAACTTCACACTGGAGCTGGGTCTTACTGGTGTCAGTAGAAAAATCACCAGTGACGAGCTGCTCACCTAAAAAAAAAAAAAAATCAAAGAGGAAGGGGAAACCCCCATCTAGTCTCTAACAAGAGAAAAACCATCTAGGCTGGGTGAAACCCAACAGTTGTGTTGCACAAGGCTTTGTCTAGAAGAACTACACTTGATTTTAATTCTCAGGGATTCATGAGTGGGGAGGCATTTATGCTCAGAAATTGTCAAGGCGTTTGTCCCCGTGGCTGAAATTCTCCCTTCACAACAGCCGGGACCTGGTGCCTTGAGGGGAACCAAAACACAGCTTAGGGCTCTCTCGAGGAGTCAGCCTCAGCTGCTGGGGTGACATTTCTCCTCACTAACACCAGACCTCGGCCGATTATGCCTTGTGCAGAGGACTGACCTGCAGATGTAGCTGAGGAGGTTGTAGTTGTCTCTGGGAAGGAGGGACAGTTGCTTCAGGAGTTCCTGATGGCCCTAAATGCAAGTTGAGAAATAGCTCTATGAAGATTCACAGGTATGTAAGGACTCAAGAGCAGCTCCTGGTCACTCCATCCCTCGTTGTATGGTCTCACCTCTTGGCGGGCATTCGCTCACCTTGGAAATTGTATTTCTCCCGCAGACCAGGCAAGGACACGGAGACGTCTCTGTGCTGTGCTCGGCACTGCTGCTGCCACCGCAGCGGAGGGAAGAGCAGGGGGCCCTCCGGCCCGGCACGTGTGTGATGAGCTCTCTGGAAAGAGCCGATCGTGCCTGATCCCCTTGCATTTTGCGTATAAAAACACTCAGGACATTTTTAACCCCAAAGATCCTGAAGAATCCACAAGAAACATTTGTCCTTGAAATACAGGGCTGAAGCCTGCAGCCCGCAGCGCTCGTGCTACCGAGGACATCTGCCTTAATTCTTGTGTGCATAGGAACAGGTTCCACGAGTGCTCTTTTTGCAGTGGTGGAGGCTTCTTTTCCATCCAATATACAGTCAGGAAAAAATAGTTTCCATCTGTTTCTCACTTCTCCCTCTCCCAAATCCCCACTTCCTTCCCTGGTCTCACCCAGAGCCCTCCACCAGCTCCGCTCTCCGCTCGGGCTGCAGGAGTTTGTGTTTCCTTCCTCTCGGTTTTCACACTGTTTGCTGCAAGGGCTCAGTGAAAAGAGGTGCTGAGCAGCTCTTAGATCTGCTCTAGAAATTTAAGCTCTAAAATGGATAAACCGCCGTGTTGTCGAGTTGGGAAATCTGGCTTTGGGAGATCTTCTCTTTTTAACTTTTTCTTTTTTTTTTTTTTTCCCCAGATTTGTGAAGCTCCGTAATTACACCGTTTATAATGCACAGCTAAGTCGGCACCTGGCATCTCCAGCTCACAAAGCCCGGCACTGAAACACAGCTAACTCTAAGGTCAGAAGGAGAGAAACGAACACATCTTTACCTTCCTCTCATCTGCATCCAGCGCCTGACCACAGAGCAGGAAATCCTCGTACTGCATCCAGGGCACAACCGGCTCGGGGAGCTCCCGCAGGTAGAGTTTGAGCAGAGAGGCCACGGTGTGCACATCTGTATCCCTGCAACGCGCAAAGACCCGCTCCCGTGAAACTCAGACCCGGCCGATGAGCAAACCCTACCCTGCTCTGGGAGCATGAGATTATTTCTGAGCTCTGTGTATAGATGCAGGAGAGGGACAGATGTAAATAGGGAGGCCCAAGCAAGCTGGGGGAAATCCATAGGGCATCTCAAGCCAGGGAATGGCCCCAGCTGGCAGGAAAGCGAATGCTTGGTGGAGATTTTCCCCACCGTGGGGCTGGCGGGTCCCCAGCGCTCATACCCGGGCTGAGCCTTCCCAGCCTGCGTTGGACTCATGAGGGTTTGCTGGCGTTCACGTGTTTGGCAGGCGCTCCCCGCTCTGCGCGGCGCTGGCGAAGCTTGCCTGGCGTTTTTAAGATTAACAGCAATTACTGAAGATGTTCTGCCGGGACAGATGTTTGCAGCTTTGCATACCATGTAGTTTACATTATGTCAAAAGGACACTGTCAAGATCGTAAGCCTCTAGTTTGACCTACCTTGAAGTCGCTAAACTGTTATAAACTTCTAGCAAAAATCCCCCAGGTCATTTATTTTTAGGATTGGTCGGGGTTTTAAAAATACTCTTATTTTTAACAAATGCACATAGCCATAGAGGAATTTTTTCAGAGCTGTGTATTTCTAGGGCCGGCCAATGCGCACCATCACGCATCCTGGATGCCTGGGCTGCCACAGCAGTTTTCTAATGCTCCCAAGGCAATCCTGCCGTGCAAATGCGCCTGCGCAAACCCAAACTGGCTGCAAAACGGCACTAAAGGTCAAGCCAGAAACCTGCTGCGTTCAGTTGGCTGGAAATCCTGTTATTGGCCTTCCTCCTCACTGAGAAAATGTTCTGGCTGAAGTGCAGGGGGTTGCAGTCACCCCGAGAACACCCCAGCAGCGTGGGGCAGGGTCAGCGTTGCGTGGTGCTGGGGAAAGGGACAAACTCCCTCGCTGTGCCCCGCCGCAAAACACGGCGCTGCAAAAAATAAATTAAAAAAAAAAGGCTTCACCTTCCTATGACCCCCACACAGGTCACAACAGGAAAGCTCTCAGCAGGACTCCGGCACCCAGAAAGGAGGAAACAGCTGCAAAGCCAGTGGCCGGGATGGTTACGCTCCCAGAGATTACGCTCTGCCTTGCCCGGTGCAGGGATTATTTGGGTTAAAGTGCTGTGGGTTTTCCTAACAAAACTGCGCAGGTCTGGGTGAAAACAGAAGTTTTCCAGTGAGTGACAGGCCTGCCCATAAAGGGATGAGCCCCCTGCACTCCGCCTAGGCAAAGTGTTTTGCGCAGAAGTCAGGGAAGCTCCCAGGTTCGGGTGCTTCCCCCCCCCAAGCCCCCCAGGACCTGCTGGTGGTCCCAGAGCTCGGGTGATGCTCTGGGGGGCCGCGCCCCGGGTCTGCACGGATGGGGCATCACCACAGCCGCTGTCAAACCTTCACACACATGCAGCAGCCTGGGCACTCCTCGTCTCCGTCGCGGCAGACAGGGCAGGGTAGGAATTGAACCGAAAAGCCTCCCTTTAGGTGCTGTGGAAAGGCAGGACCCAGTTTTCCTTTATCCCAGCACAGGTCATTGCTTCACCAGTGCAAACCGGGGGGCAAAGCCCTGGAGCAGCCTGCACAGGTCAGCAGGGGACACTAGGCAATGCCTCGTGCAACCGGGGCCAAAAGCAAGGGGTTAAACTCTGACTTGGGGGTGGGAGAGGTGGGAAACCTCCTCAGAGCTAATGAGGCGCCTGCGGGTGGTCCGTCGGCAGGGACCCGTAGCTGGCCTGGGAGTTTTCAGGGGAGGGCTTCACCAAGAGGTGCACCAGGGGATGACCTCTCTCCTCTCATTTTGCGCAGGGCATGGCAGAGCTCGCGGTAGCAAACGTCTCTCCCCAAAGCCTCTCCGTGACGTAAGGCAGGGACAGGCAGCTCTCTCCGCTTTAGGGAGTTTGCCGTTTCGTCTTCGCCCTCCAGAGGAAGGGCGTCAGGAGGACGCAGCCAAAACCTCGCTCTCATCTCTGTGTTTCTAGGGAAAAGCAACAGGAGGAAAGTACTATGGCTATGGGCTGGCAGGGAAAGAAATCTCCTCTACTGTGTGCAGTAGGGTGTTCTCTGAGCTTATTTGAGATCCTATACCTGCTCTCCTTTCTCTAAACCTCTGCCCTTAGCTATGTAGGGTCTTCCCTTCGCCTCCTTCCTTGGCTGCTCCTGCAAATAATAATTACTCTGTGGGGCCAGGATTTTCCCAAATGCTTTCCTTTGTTTCCATGAATCTCATCTCAGCACCCTCTGATTCTGCTTTTGCCTCCGTTTGGGGTTTCTGCTGAATCCTCTCTCCTTGTCAAGCCCTTCTGGAGGGTCCAAGTTCCCTGCAAGGCACTGCTGGGTTCTTGGGGGGTAGGGCAGGCTGCTTTTCCCCAGATTTTGGTGAGTATGAGACCTAGTTGAGTAGAAGAGGGGGAATCCAGCATTACCGGTCAAACGATGGCCTTTCCCCAGCATCGAACGCGTCCCTGAGCTGTTTCACCAGGTTGTCTTGGCCAGGGAGGCGGAAGATGCCCTCCTCACTCACGCCGTGCTCCCGGATGAACTCAGCACATTTCTGCACCAGGATGGGGACCTGGTGCTGCCCAAATTTCTGTTCATAGGCCATGGTCTCTGCCAAGCGCTGGCCGAACACCACTAGGGAAAGGACAGAGAGGTTAGAGGCGCCCAAAGGCTCTGCCAAAGGCACGGTACTGCCAGAGCGCATCAGGTGGCTGCAGTACCCGCGCTTCTGATAGCACGGGACCTACAAGAAGTCTTCAAACTGGAGGAAAACAGAACTTCCTCCAAAGAAATAATAGCAAAATGAAACCTCACTCTTCCTCCAAACAAACAGTTCTCAAAATGATTGAAACACGGCAGCGAGCCTCGGTTCTTGTCCTGCTGCTTGGCTGTCCTGGAGCTGGGCGCTGATACAGAGACTGGACCAGCAGAAAGGCTGATGTGAGGGCACAGGGAGAGAAGGCAAGCTCAGCACACAAAGCTGGAAGACGTAGAAAGCACAGGAGACCACCAGGAAATGAGAGCAGCAGCCTGGCAGAGATTTGGAGCGGGAAGTCTTACTGGTTTAGCTGTTTGTCTCCCCCCTCCTCTTTCCTCTCACCCTCCAGAAACTCCCCTGCGCAAAGAGCAGTATTTTGGAGCAGACAGTACCTTTCCTTCGGAGCAGTGGCTTTTTCCTCCGGAACTCGCAGCAGAAGAGGAGCTCCAAGGTGGGAAGGCAGCAGCCTGCATCCCAGCTCTTCCTCCTCGGAGCCTGGGGCATGGTCATAGCAGACAAATCCCAACTCCAACTAGCTCTGGGACACTAACGGCAGAGGGTCCTATGGTCCTCTACCATATTTTTGCCCCAGCAGTGCCTGTGATGCGTTCACCTCGTGCTCTGAAGCCTGAAACAATTCCTGTGCATCTTCCAGAGCAGGAAAATGCAAGCGAACACTCTCATCTGGAACCGCAAGGCTTGTCGGCACCTGCCTCATCATGGGGATTTTTCATTTATGACTCGCTTACTCTTTTAAATAATGAATATAAACCTGTCATCGTGCACGGCAAAAGCAAATAGCTGCTGCTTTTTTTTTCTTTTTTTTTTTTTTCTTTTTTTTTTTTTCCCCCTGCCTCTCTGCTTTGGTAGCTGATAATGAATTGCTTGTTTAGCTTCAAGCTGGTAGATTTGTTAACTTGGGGATACCTCCCCTGGGCAATGCCGTGCCCTTGCCAGCCCACTCAGCAGGTAGCTGTCATTGCAGGCTGGCAGCCAGCCCTGCAAACCCCCTCCGAGATTTTGAAGATGCTTTTGCTGTTGCTTCACGCTCCGCAGCTGCTCTTTGGTGTGCAACGAGCTCACAACTAGCTGGGTCGCATGGGGCTGCTTCCAGGTGGGCTCATGCCAAAACCTCCACCAGGCAGTGGGTCGCTTTGAAAGCACGTGTTGCCTCGGCTTGCACCGAAGCCCAAAACCTAATGCATGAAGTTTCGGGGCCTGTTAACCTGTGCATCAACATAAAATGCAGCTCCATCGTAGCTGACTTCTCTGCTACCCTCAGGGCTCTCTGTACTACTATAAATTTACATCTTCTATCATATAAGGTCACTTCAGCTAGCTGGAGGAAGCTGGCAGCCTCCTAACGTTAAGCAAGGATCAGACGCGGAGTTGTTATTAAATATTAGAGCCAGGTGGGGCAATGCCCTGAAAATTTCTGGCTCACGTAATCCTCATTTCAGATGAGTAATGCTGCCTCCCCGAGGGCACAGAGAATTTCAGGTTAGAGGAGGAAAACACCAGGGTTGTGGAGGAAAACCACCCGTGTCGTCGTTTCGGTGAAGCTTCCCTGTGCCTGTGGCAGGGTCACGCGGAAAGAGCCCAAAGCGGCAGCGCCTGCTTGCCTCTAAACCGCTGTGATTTACACCAACACCGGAGCTGTGGGGGAGCGGAGTTCCATCACGCTTGTTTGACACAGCCGAAGGGCAGGGACCCTATCGAAATATCCCGTGTATAGTCAGGGCAAAGCACAGAGGAAGGAGAGGCTCAGGATGACCCCCCAGATCAGTGGAAGAGAACCAGAGAGACTCCCCGCCCTGTTCCACTGGTGGATCTTGCTTCGGGGAGTTTATCCGTGTAGGGAAAGTCTGAGTGTTTCATCCTGACAGAGAAAGTGGCCGGAGCGACCTTTGCTGCTTCCTTTGTGGGCTTTGCCTGTGGCGGCAAATTTACAGTGCGCTCCTCTCTGATCAGGTTTATACTTCCCTGACCGCAGTTTTGTAACGGCGTAAGTGGGTGCCCGAGGGGGCTGGAAGCAAGGAGCCTGTTGCCGCAAGCCTTGCCCATGCGTGCAGAGAAAACGAGGGGAGGGAGCCTGGGCTGAGCAAGAAAAGCGAGGAAAAGGGCAGGTGAAAGGCAAGAATTTTCAGTGCTTTGTCCCTGAACGTGAGTCGCTTTCAAGAGCAGCGCTTTCTGGGGTCAATAAGTCAACGAGGAAGTTTGCAAAAGAGACTGAAACCAGCCCCTAAATCTTCATTCCTGCTTGGCTGCCATTTCTGTAACCCTGCCCGTGTTTGCCGCAGACCCAGCACCACAGGGTCCGGGAGCAGGATTCTAAGACATTACAAACTGCAGCTCCGGTTTCCAGTTTCAAGGACTCATAAGCCCAGCTTTGAAATCCTTGCACAAAAGTCCTGCAGCCCACGAGACGGTAGGAAATCGCCTCTCCAAGAGCTGTCCCTGCTCCCCTTTACCTCCCGAGGATGACCCCAGCACTCGTCGGATGGATTTAACCCATTCCTCCATCTCAGACTGGGAATTAGCCATGAGCACGCAGGTGTCCTGTCCTGCCCGGTTCTGGTCTCCAGAAAAAAAAAAAAAAAAAAAAAAGAAAGTATGCATCATTTATAGATGAGATTGGAGGAGAAAAGATACATTCTTGTTGCTTTCTTTGCTAAATGCTTTTGGCTCCAAACACGCCACTAATATCTGTTTGGCTGGGAAGTGAAGCAGCGCTCTTGCGTTTCACCCTTGCTGAAGGTCTGCGAGAGAGGAACAGAAACTGTTTAACGTCGCAGCTTGGCAAGGCTGCTCAGCATGCGACGTGGGCACCGACACAGGGCCCTCCTCCAGCCCTGACGTGAATACTGAAAGCTAAACCAGCGGTTTCCACGTGCAACGAAGTGCTGTGGGGACCCTGGAAAGAAGCGGGAGCACCAGGACTGGCAAGATGACTTGCCCAGATGATTCTGGGTGAGGAGTCCAGCCCAAAAAAAGTGTGCAACAAAGAGGAGCGAAGCATCCTCACCTGGGATGATTTCAAAGATAAATTTCCCTCCTTCCTCGGGATTGCTGGCCACCTCCTTGATGGTGCTTCCCTGGAGAGACAGGCAGCCCTAGGACAGAGCAGAGCAGGAGCTGAGAACACCCGTGTCCCATCTCTGTGAGCCAGCACGACCATGGCTCAGCACTGAGGATCGAAGTCCTGACAAAGAGGTTGCAAGAGCTGGTGGCCTATATATATATATATGGATGCTAAAAATAACTTTTCAAACAATAAGGGACATTCTTAAATGCCAGTTTGTCTGATGGAGCGATTCTCAGCATGAGAAAACTGTTATTTTGCACTTTCCTCTTTTTAACTCCCTTCTCGTGTTTTTTTTAATCCCTGTTGGGGGTGGAAGAAGAGGAAACAAAGGAGAAGGGGCTTGACAAAACGCCGGAGCATCCTGTCACTGCTACACCAGGGACAGAAAACTGTTCCTTTAATGCAGCAACCCTTAAACCCAGAAACCAGACGTGAAAGTTTGCAGGAGAGGAGTAGAGAAAAAGAAGAAAAGGGAGGTGAAATAAAACATGCAAAGTGGAAACCAGCCGCTTCCTTTGGACCTTCCTTTCCTCAACTGTCGTGGCGAACACGGGCAGCTGGGTCCGCACTGGAGGGGATGGGTGGGGACCAGCGTGTGGGGGCCGAGCAGGGCTGTGAGTCAGCACCGGAGGCCTCCCAGGGCAGGAAATAAGGCTGAGCCACAGAAATAAAGTTTCTCGGTGATTTCAGCCTCCCGAAAGCCATCGGGCTCCTGCGAGCGGTGAGGACCCTCAGTGCTCCGAACACCCGAGTTGCAGCTGTACCAGTCGGAATCGCTGATGGGATCAGAGAGGCGGGAAATGACCCGGGACGGTGCCTCAGGGTCACAGCAAGAGCTGCCAAAAGCGCCCTGAAGAGCAATAGGCTTTTCACAGCACTTTCTACGTTCCGTCTACAACCTGGGAGACTGCTCCTCCCAGTCACCCCTGAAACGGGGCAAAGCCAGACGTAGGACCTGGATCCTGCCGGGCTCAGCCCTGTGCTTTCACCCCGGGGATCTACTGATCGCCTTCCCTTCACGGGCGTTTGCTATCTTGAGATCCATTTTGCTACCAGTAACAATCTGCAGAGAATGGCTTTTCCGGCAAAGGGGAGGACCTTTCCCTGAAATTTCTCAAAACAAGGAAAAGATGGTGGATATTAAAAAAAAATAAAAATTACAGTATAGAGAAAATGGTTGAAAAAATAAAAAGTTATCCATATAAATGTCTTCCTGGCAAGTGTACTACAATGTGTACCCTGAGAAACGGTTTATACGGGTAAGACAGAGAAACGGTTTAGACGGGTAAGACAGGGCTCGCTACAACTCAGAGGGGCTGGGTTGCCCCAGGGGCTGCTGCCAGAGGCCTGTGGATGTCGGGCACTGGTGCAGACATTTAAGTCGTGCCCAAGTGGATGATCACACCCCTGTTTTGTGCGAAGGGTTGGGCGCACGTTGTGCTCCCCTGGGGAATCTCAACAAGCATCAGAGCTGATGTGCGCCAGAGCGTTGAGCAGATTTTGAGCCTTTTGCCTCGGAGGAAAAGGCAGCGGGCAGGTTTCCTCTGGCCGTGCCGGGTGGACCGGGGCAGCTGCCGAATCACACAAACTGCACCCGCGCTGCGGAGCCGTCTGCGAAGGCTGGGGCTGGGCTGGGCCACAAACCCGGAGGCCAGAGAGAGAGACATTTCCTTTCGTTATCCCTCCAGCTGCCCTCTCCCATGGCAGGAGGCCATGACGAAGCAGCTGCCCATTGCTGCCGTCTGTCCAGCCCACAGCCCTGCCACGAGGTCTGTCTCGGGCAGATCCTCACACCCAGCCTATGCCGAAAGCCCTGCCTGGTTTTTCCTAGAAGCATCCCGCCAGACGCCTTCCCCACCGCATGGCTGAGACCTCTCGCAAAGCTCCTGTCGCTTCTGCACCCACCGCTGCACCAGCACCGCAGCCCGGTGGTGCACGAGCTCCTTCTCTCCCCAGCCTGTTTCTCTTGCCTTGGAGAATGACAGCAAGTTTCTAGCTAGTAACTGCTTTGGGTTTTTTGCAGCCCCCCCTTGCTTGGGCACAGAGTGACCAAGCCCCAGCAGGGCTTGGGGGCACTTTAAGAATTTAAGCGCAAAGACGATCCTGATCAGGGTATCTCATGTCTGTTATCAAAGGCAGAAAACCTCTTTAATACCCTGCTCCAGACCCTTCCCAAACCATTTCCCTCCAAGCAAAGTCACGAGAAGCGCGAGACTGAGGACCAGCAAAGCCCAGCAGCCCCATCCTACCTGTGGTTTGACATCATCCTCATCCTTGTAGTAGTAAAGCTGCTGGCCCTTCAGCACGAAGTACCGCTGCTGCCAGTTCTTGACGATGGAGCGCTGCTTCTTCAGCCAGCCGATCTTCAGGGGCCGCTCCAGCGGGCTGGGGGCGGCCGGCTGGGCACCCGCTGGCTCCCCGCTCATCACGCTCTTGGAGCGGGCTGCCAAGGACAGAGAGGGACGGGCTGGGGGGGACACACCGGGACGACCCGCCAGCGGCCCCGCGGCCCCGGGGCCGACTCCAGCCTCAGCAGCAAGAGCAGCTCTCTGCCCCTCTGCCCGTGCTGAGCAAACTGGCTAGAGTTTTAAAGGAAGTGGCTGCAGTATCTGTCAGTATGTGCTTCCTTTTTCCTGCGTGGGAGTAATTGTCTTGCAAGTGAGAAGAAAATCATTAGCTCTATTTTTTTTTTCTTTTTTTTTAATGGGAGTGTGTGGTTTTGTTATACCCGCCCCAAGCAGCCTGCAGCGGCGATAGCAGAATGACCCAGCCTGGCTCGGAAAAAAATGTTTGGAAATTGCAGTTTTGCTCCGGGAGTGCGTTGCCTGGTGTTTCCAGCGGGGCAGTTCTCACACAATGGGACTGGGAAGTCTCCAAGGGAGGAAAAAGTGCCACTGTGGATTTAGTGGCTGGGCAGAGCAGCGTCCCCTGTCTCCTTTTTGCATCGTGTGGACTGGTGGCAGGGACTGGCAGTGTGGCCCTGTGACATCTCTCAGTGCCTCTGTGACAGTAAATGCCTTGGGCAGGATCATTTCCAGAGAGGATTTCCACCTCTGGACAGGGCACTGGAGGACGTCGGTGCCACCCCAGCGGGGCGGCGTTAGCATTTATGGTGGCAGGGCCAAAATCATTCTATGGCTCCAGGGGAATTCAGCTTCGCTAGTGTCTGCACATGGCGATTTCCTCAGGTTTTGTATCTCCCCTGCCAAAACGGAGCTGACGGCACCTGTGCGGGTCCTGCGGGCGAGGGCGGTGCAGGATTCGGGCCCCTGAGCCCGCGGCGTTGGCTGGCAGAGGGCACTCGGGCTGTGAGGGAGGTGGGGTGTGGGGACTGGGGGAGCTGCGGGGGCCCCGCGTCTCTGCCCCCAGGCGCCTGCTTTCCCCCAGGTCGGTCAGTGGAGCAGAGAGCTGCAGAAGCTGCGTTAGAGGAGATTCGATGCATCCTGACGGGGAGCTGAGTGCAAAGGACGAGCTTAAAAAAGGAGAAAATTAGAAATTTTCCGTTCTGCCTTGTGATGTTTGGGACTGGGGGTGTCTCACGCCTGGACGGGTGTTCTCATTGCACAGACACCCACAGGGACCATGAGCCTACAAAACATTTTGCGCTTGGTGCTGAGCAATTAGGGTGGTTTCAGAGGTCAGGGGTGCTGCAGTTCAAGAATGTGCTCAGCTTCCCTTTCTGAAATCCCCGGAGCAAGAAATCCTGCTGTGTTTTGCTTTCATCCTTTGGAGCCAGGCTTGGGTAGGACACTCTGAGCTCACCTCTCCACTACAAACCTGTCACAGGATTGCAAACCACTTCCCCAAAAATGGCAAAGGATTGTGAATCCAGAAGCCAGCCTCCAAAGCGCAGTGAGGATGCTGCTTGCACCCCAGTGCGTGCTGAGGACGGGGCTGTGAGCAAGGCCCTTGGCAAGGGATTTGCCCACCAGCTCCCCTGAAAAATGCTGATACTGGGGATTACCCTGATGCAAAACCCAAAATGGGGTTTCCAAATTGCACCTCAAGCTCCGGGCAGCTTCCTTGCTCTTCGCCAAAACATCTGCACTACTCAGATCTCATAAATATTCATACAATTCTCAGCAAACCGCTGACGAGCAGCATCGCTGCTCCCTGGAGATCATGTTCCTTCACGTCTGGCAGCAGCTGCCGCCTCCTCGGAGGTAAGGACTTTTGGGGAATGATCCGCAGGGGTGGAGCAGCTGTCAGGAGCGTGGAGGCCTGTGGGTGCAGGGCACTGCCTGCCTTCCCCGAACGCTTTGCCCTGCAGAAACCCAGAGCAAATCCTGAGTGGGCTGGCTCCAAACTAGCCCCGCTCTGCAGAAAGCACAGCCCAGCACTCATGTCCTCCTGAATTTTGCTGTGTTCTCCCATCCAACCGTAGCACCTCATCTCCCCCTCCGTGAAGCAGAGATGCTGATATCTGCTCTGTTTAATTAGCACTAACGTTTGCAGAGTGAGGTCTCTGTGCCAAGCAGGGGCAGCCACAGGGGCTTCATCTGAGGGGAGCTGTTGCAGGACAGCTCGCAGGGCCCAAACTCACACCCAGATGGGTGGAAATCAGGGATGTGTCTCCATCCCTCCCTCCATCCATCCCTCCATCCCTCCATCCCTCCATCCATCCATCCATCCATCCCTCCATCCCTCCATCCATCCATCCACTCTGTGTTCAGCCTTCCCCAAAGAGCTCGGCTCAGCCCAGCAGCACCGGTACTCCAGTGGCACAAGACTTGGAAGGAGAAATTGTGTCTTTTATGAAAAATGTAATGGCTTCTTACATTTTTTAGCTATTCATCTTCCTCCAAGCCCATCAGGCTGCTTCAGGGCTCTGCATTATGGAAACGAAGCGACAGTCACTGCTGCCGGGGGCTCCTCCTGCTCTCAGCCTTGAGCTTAATTTGCCCAGTCCTTGCTGGAAACAAGGTTTGTTCTCTCCCTCTTTGCAGCCTTTCCCAGGTGCATGAGGAATGTGCATTCAGAGGGGTGCACCTGGGTCCCCCTTCCTTAGCATCAGCCCTCCTGAAACGCCAGACTCAAGGTGCCTGGGCTTAGCCGTGGCTTGGCCGTGGCCATGCACGGACACGTGCACCAGTGAGAACGTGCAGGTGTATTTTGCCTCCACGTGAGACAGCTCTTCCCTGTACTTTGGGCTCATTTAAGGCCGAAATAGCAGTTTGCAGGATCCCTGTTACCCACAATGTGAGCACACCCCAACCGCTGTCCCCACCGCAGGGCTCGTGCGGAGGCGTGGGGAGGGACCTGCTGTGGGGAGCCTGGCTCTGCAGACAGCAAGGCTATTTTTGCCCAGCGGAAAGTTTTCTGCATTCACAAAACCAGAACCACCAAGGCTGTGGCTCCTTCCTTTACCACTTTTCCAAGTTTCTACCTTTTGTGGCTAGTGAGAGGCCCAGCTCATGTGTGATGACCAGCTGAAAATTTAATTCAGGGCAGGGGCAAAGCTTTTTCCCTGGCTCTCCCCAGGGTGGTCCAGCACTTGCAATCATCTCCTTCACCAACACATCCCTGCCACACTCGGCCTTGCTCCTCTGTGCCACTCTTGCAGGGCAGGAAGGAGCCACTGAGAGCGACTGTGGTGCCCCCTGAAGCATTTCCTGTGGTAACTGCCTCTGAAGTTGAATATTTCCTCCAAAACATCCTCGCTCTTCCTCCAGCCCTGGGGACAGGCCGCAGCTGGGTGTCTGTGTGCCGCTGCCTGCTCCCTGAGGAGAGGAGCCCCGCCAAAGCGTGAGAAATCGCACCGGGTGGTATCACATGGACGCTGCCTCCCGTCCCAAATCCTCGTCTTGGGCGAGAGCCCTCCCTGCCATCCCCTTTGCTTCTGCCTCACAGGAGGGACATGGGGCCGCAAAAAAACAGTAAAAGCAAAAGTGCCGCAATAGATTTCGCAATGAAAATGGCAAACGCAATTCTCTCCTTCATCGAAATAAATTGCTTTCCATTTTTCTCAGCACGAGGAAGCACACAGGGGTCGGCGTGCTGTCCTGGGGCTTACAAAAGCTGCTTGTGCCACGGCCCCAGCCGGGGACGAGGAGGGGGAAGTGTCCCGAAGCCAGGAGGAGCCAGCAAGGGAGGTGGTGACTAATTTGCAAATATTTTCCACAAGCAAGTCACATCCTTGCTGCACCCCTGAAGATGGCAGCAGCTGGTCCCCGCAGCCAGAAACCCCAAAGCACGAGCAGCGCCGCCGCACCGAGCTGTGCCCCAACGCTCAGGTCTTTGCACACACACACACACCCCCCTCATCTCACGGGCTCGCGGCAGCAGCAAAAGCACCCAGAATTTAATCACAGAGCAGATTCTCTTGAAAAAAAGTAATTCCTGGTCACAGCATAGGTTCAAGCCTGTGTCCCCCTGCACCCCCTCTGCTTCCCAGCAGCCAGCAGGCTCAGTGTCCCCCAGCCTTTTTTTCTGAGCTATGGATGGAATTTACCCACTGCCCCGCAGCCTCTGTACAAAAAAATACTAATTATCCTAAGAACGGGCAATGCAGAAATCCGCGATGCTTCTATGATGACTGTGTGGAGATTTTTCCACCACTGTCGTGCGAGCTGACGAGAGCAGTGATGGCACTGCGTCCTCCATCCGCCTGCAAGCTGCTGGACCAGGCAGGGCCTCACCCCATGCGTCGCCAAGCCCAGCCAGCACCGGGCAGCAGCGGTGCTTTGTTTGGGGCTGTGTGAAGTGAACGCTTCGGCCACCCCGGTGAAAGCACCTTCAGATCGAAATCCAAACTGCCTTTGCAAGAAAATGCAGCCAGGACGACCTTGCAAGCTGACGCAAGCTGCTGGGAGGAAGAGCTCAGCACCGCAGAGGCCAGCTTGGTCAAATCTCTCTGCTGCAGGGAGAAATCAAGCGGCCAGTGTGTGCCTTGGCCGTGTTTTGGCGCCAGTGCCAGGACCATGGAGGGCCTTTGCCTCAATGCGTGCACAGGGCCGCGCTCGGGCAGCCCTTCCTCGACCGCAGCATCCTCGTCCCCAGATCCCCTCCCTGGCTGCCTGACCCGAAAGCAGGCATTGGCTCCACCGTGATATTTTGGCCACAGACCCCACCGTGGGTTCCCTCACCCCTTCCCAGGGGCGTTCTCAAGAGGTTCTCATGCTGCGGATGGATCCCGTGGTGGAGGAGAACCGTGCAAAGCCCGGGCGGAGGCAGATCAGTCAGGAAAGGACACGGTGAAGATGTCCACGTCCTGCTGGGCATCAGAGGGCTCTTCCCCACCCGCGAGAGGAAACCAATGACGTCAGGGTGGGCGAAGAAACCTGAGCAAGAGCGAGATTGCTTCCTCTTGCCTGCACCGCTCCGTCCGCCTTGGGCCTGCACTTCACCTCCTGCAAGGCTTGTGCCAGCAGAATGAGCCCAGGTGGTTTAATGCCCCCCCCAGCCCTGGACTCTGGGTGGGCAGCACCCCACGCTGCCGGGTGCCCCCAGTCCCCGCCCTGCGGAGACAGCCCCGGAGCCTCAGCCCTGGCCACGCTCCCGCAGCATCCCTCCGTGACAACCTTGCAAATCACTTCTTGTAAATCATTTGCAAACCATCTGCTGTCTCGAAAGCTGTACCTGGGGGGGAGCTCCCCCCACCAAGGCCAGAAGTGGTTTTGGGTCTTGGCTGTAGCCAGAATTGCTGCCGGGCTTGGCCGCAGACACCCCGGCAGACCCCGGCTTGCACCTGAGAGGCTGAAGCAGAAACAGAAGGACATAAAGAAACAGGCACGGTACCTATTTTTGCAGCATCCATTTTCAGGTTGAAATCCCAGTTCCGTGGCAGCTTGAGGGACATTTTGGATCAGGAAGGGCTTTGGTTTTTTTTCAAGGGGGACTTGCTTAGGAGACAGGCTGAAAGAAAGCTCTGAGAGTCCCGTGGGGATCCTGTGCCCGGGGTGCGATTCCCCCCACAAAGAGCGACGGCTCAGCAAGGGTTCATTTGCCAACGGACTTCCTCCTCCCTCCTCTGAGAGCGGCTCTGAACAACCCCATAAAAGTACTTTCCTGCCCTGCTTTCCTGCAAAGCTCTCCTCTCGCTTCCCTGATGACACCGAGGTGATGCCGCCTTTTTTTGCTCCCCTCTTTGCCTGATGCGTAGATGCAGCAGCCCAGCCCCAGCCTGCACCGAAACGCAGCTGCCCGGGGTGGCTCGGTGCGTGCTGCTCGTTGCATTTGAGGAAGTGGGTGTCCTTCTCGGTGTCGTCGGTGCACTAGAAAATTGCTCACTGAAGGACACAGCCCAGCACGGAGTTTCGGGAAATGTTTTGTTGGGCAGCAAAGCAGAGCGGGCTCAGGTGGCCGCGGCCAAACAGCACAGGGTGACATCTCCGAACGCACGGCCCGGATGACACGGGTCATTTTCTTACTACATTTCTTTTTCATTTTCTTACTACAAAGGCTGAACAGTCCCCACAGATGATTTAAGGTTTTTTACACCCACTTTGTCACAGCGGTATGAGCAAAATGGGGATGCAGTGGAGCTGCTCTTGGAGGAAAGGCTGTGGGTCTGAGGGCAGGGAGGGCCTGGGGATGTGGGCACCGACCTCACCAGGACCACCGGCTCAAGCAGAGCCCCTTTCCCTGCTCACAACAGCACGTGTCTCCTGTTCTGTGCCACTTAATGCTGGTTTCCCTCAAAAGAAATGGCTGCGCATCCGCAAAGCAGGCTGCGGTGGAATTAGACTGGGATGCCGCTCACGAGACAGAGGATAAATCCAAGTTTCATTCACAAACACTCAAATGGAGCAAAAAGCAGCGAGGGCAGCTTGAAGACAGAGCAGAGTGCCCTGAGGGGCTAACGGAGGGCTCCAGCCTGCAGAAAAGCCCAGGCCTTGCGGAGAGGGAAGTCGCCTTGAACAGAAGCAGAAATAGTGACGTGGGGAGCAGGGGGGGCTGGAAGAGGACGCAGCCGCCGGTTCCCATTCTGATTTTCAGCCCAGGCATCATAACTCTTGTAAGGAGTTTGTAGTGCCATGGTGTAAACTGAGGATGTGCCTGTCAGGGAAGGAGCCAGAGCCTGCACCTGGTAGCAAAACAGCCAGGGTGGACCTTGGTGGGCTAATTTGGGTTAGTCACAACTGGAAAATGAATCGGTTGCGTTGAGCAGTGACTGGAGGCAGCTCAGAGAACCCCAGCTCACACCTTCCGCTGCCGAAAGTCCAGAGAACTCGGCGGTGTGGAAAGCGATGCTACCACAAGAGCAGCCCAGCACGTACCCAAATCCGGACTAACGCAACGCCAGTATCCTGCTTTGGACCCAAACTGCCTGAATTAGCTCCATTTCTGCTGCACCCCGAGCAGAGGGCCCTGACCGAGCCCCGAATTAAGCATCATTTTATCCTCTTCTTAATAACATCTGCAGAAAGCTGTAGGAGCTCTAGGGGGTCATGCATTTTGAGCCTTTTTTTCTCTTCAACCTGTTTTTTTGTTTTGGGTTTTTGGTTTTGTTTTTTTTTTTCACGAGAGCCCGGCAGCAGCTTGTGAACAGCCGCCTTTCCCCACCTGCTGTGTGAACAGGATGTCACACGGCACTTTCCCCTCCTCTAGAAAGGAAACAGCAAACGTTTTAGCCCCAAATCGTGCCAGTCAGCCCAACGCTGGGCGAGTACACCACAGCAGCTCAGCCCTCGCTGCAACCCAAAACGGCCCCTCGGAAGCGCCCCGAGAGCTGCTTCAGCTGCCTCCCGCCCGCTCCCACCAGGTACCTGTGGCTGCCTCCCGTTTGGGGAAAGGACAAGATTGGGGGGTTTAATTTGCAATCAAGCCAGGCAGCCTAGTCCTGAACCAAATGCCCCAGGGGAACTTATAAATGGCAAACCTCAGCCTGTTAGGGTGGGGGTTTTTTTGCTGTTTTTACATCCTTCTTCTATCAGGATCTCACGGAAAATGTGTCTGGACAGGATCGCATGAGGCCACTCGCACAGAGGCTTTCTGGGTTTGAGACTTTCTGGGTATGGAGCACAGCTAGCACCAGGATTACCGCTGGGAATTTGCAGTTTTCAATGTTTAATTTAATTAAATTGGCACAGGATGGGGAGAAACAAGGAGGACTCCGCAGCTGAAGGGCTGAAACGCGAGCAGCGACACAGGCAGGGCAGCCGCAGAGCCTGTCAGATGATGTGCCTGACTCACTGCCCTGCCGTCGCCCGACAGCCCGCCGAGAGACTTCACAGCCCCTTTTCCAGAAGATTGAACACTGAGGGATCTTTCAAGACCTCTCGGTAACGGCATCTAATGCTTCACAGGACTGCCGAGTAGGGCATGGTGCCGCTCAGCACTTTTCTGCTTAACTGGCCAACTCCTCCGAGGGGGATGTGTTGCAACCTAAGATTTGGGGCTTTAGAGCAACTTTGCTCATTCCTATAAAGAGAGGGCATCATATTTTCTTGTTGGAGGATTAATTTGTCTGAAAATGCCCACACAGTGTGACAGGAAGCAAGATGAGAGCTGCTGATGGGTTGGTTTGGCTTGGCAGATTAGTCGAAACCAGTCAAAATAACATTAAGAGCTAAAAATAGTATGTTTTGCTGTGTAAACAGAAGGATTCTGCTCTCCTAACCCCACGCAAGTCAGAAGAAACAGCTGAAACGCGGCAATAATTTATGCTAAGTGTAACTCCAACAATTTTTCACATTCCCAGTGAAATCTTTAGGGTAAAATGAGCTGATTTGCAGGGGGCAGCAGTGCCAACACTTCCCTCATCTTTATCAAGATGGGCCTGTACGATCTGATCGCAGCTTCCCCTGGAAACGCAGCTGGTTTTGTCCCTCGTGCGGGGCTGTGTCCCATCCTGCCCGTGTGCTCAGCCCCTCTGCAGCCTTCGTGCGTCTTTGCCACGGCCGGGTCTGCTCTTAGGAAGATCCCCGAGGAAGGAGAGCTACGAGGCAAGGAATGGGGGAAAACTTGAGTTTAAAACAGACCAATCTTTCTTACAGAGCACGGGAAGGAGGTTTTCAGCATCTCCCCCACTTGCCAGCAGCGCTGAACAAAACTCCACTACAGATAATGGAACTTATATTTATTTAACAGTAACATATAGTATATAAATAGGGTAAATACTTTAAAATATACAATATATCACATTCGGACATTCGGTCAAAGAAAGGCGACTCTACATGTGTAGCTAAAACATTAATCAAAAGAACAATGCACAGAGAAAGAAGCAGATGGTAGAAATACATCAGGTCTGGAGAACAGGAGCACACAAAGATTACAGCAGTACGAAATGCAACTCCGGGGCTGGTTACAGGGGGCAGGAACCACGGGAGCTTTCATGCGATGCTGTTTGTGACCCCAGGAGGGTCTGGGTGGGCTGCACAGATGCTTCCCACCCAGCTTTGCCCTCCTCCTGTCAGACAGAGCCGGTGAGGGGAGGTGGGGGGAGGAAGACGTGCCAGGATCCCGCACGCATCGGCAAGAGGAGACACACCTAGGGACAGCAGTACCGGCGTTTCACAGCCTGGTGCCGAGCGTTACCGGATGCTATGGGATTTCCAGCTTCTGCACAGGGCCAGACTTCTGGGCCCATCACCCCCCCGAAAATGTCTACACAATGCACGCTGCTCAGCGCAGCACGGGACGCCGTAGGCAGAAATCGGGTGTCGACGTTTCACTGAGCACTGCGGGCCACAGTCTGGCGGTGCATCCGATCTGCAAACTAATCCGGGCTACAACCAGCCTCGGAGAAGCAAATTCCTATCAGAGCACGCCAGGTGCTGGTCTACACAGGCCCAGCCCAGCCACGCCTGCTCAGACCCTGGATCAAAGCAGGGTCCCACCCCGACCGCTAAATCACCCACCAGCCGGCAAATGCGACTGTTCAGCGGCCCCACCAGGACAGCCAGCTTCTCACACCGCGCCAAAGCAGCTTTACGAGCACGTACCATCCCTTCGCTTATTTAATACACTCACAGCCCTCTGCCTGCTCCAACTGGAGACACAGTGACAGCCTGGGAAGAGGCAGTTTCCACACCAGCCTGTCCCCTGCCCGGCAGCAGCAACACCCTCGTAAGCCTCACACTGCCCAAATCCTACTTTTCCTTCCCATCCAAGCACACGCACCAGCCGACCGTTACCTCCCCCCGTGCTGATCTGCTCTCAGTTATGCCCCTCTTGCTGGGCACAAGCAGGAGGAACTCCTCTGGTCACGGAGCCCACTGTGAACAAAATCCGTTGTGCAGTGCTGAGCTCAAGCCCTGCAGCTGGAGAAGCTTCACGTGATCATCCCTGCATCGCCCTACCTAGACATCCCCGGTGTCAGCTCGGCCTCTCTAGCAGCAGGAGCCACACCAGCCTCCCTCCAAACCCCAACTCTTGTGAGAGCCGCAAGGCCTGCAAGCCTTAATGCAATGAAAAAGGTGCAACGTGTCTCGGTACACGTCCCTTGGCGTCACAGTTAACGCCTTTGCGACAGCCAAAGCCAAGACGTCAGCTTTCCATCTCCTCTAACTTTCTAGGTCTAACTTGAAATATCTACAGCAAACAAAAGCCGCTCACGGGCTGGGCTGATGGGGAAAAGCCCCCACACGCTCCCCCAGACAGCACGCTGTCGCTAAGAGCTGAGCAGGACCACCACATACATTCACCCCAGCGGTGCAGAAGTGGGTTTGCCAGCCGCAGCGCTCAGCCCAGCGGGGCGCACAGTGCAGTGCCTACTACCAGCATGTCTCGGAAAGTTCAGCTGTACAGCTTGCAAATAACCTTAACAACCCCCACCTCCCCCCCGCACTCCTCCACTGTTCTCACGCCATTTACTAAAACTCAGTGCAGGATGCTGAACTCCTTCCACGCAGCTTCACCCTTCAGGATCACAACAGCCCTGGAAGGCCACCCCTGAACTGCGCTGGGAAGGAAGCAAGAACAGAGCTGGGAAGGCACCCACAGGCAGTACTGCCGCTGCTCCTCTCCCCGCCCTCGGGAGACCCTAAATGCAACTGCTTTGCCCTCCAGCGTCCACCGCCAGCGCTGCACCCTGCAGAAAGGCCCAAACGCCACCTCAAAATCAAAAGCATGCAGAAAAGCTTTGCGTCCCGTTTCTGCCCCACTAATTACAACTAAAGAGGTACAAAAGGTTTAAAGCAAGACGAGCAGGAGACTAAAGACCCATATGAAAAATTTCTTAATATAAAGAGCAGTACACTTTTGTAATATTTATCAACACTACAGCTTCTTCTGATGACTGACTTGGGACCCAACAGTGCGCTACGGGGGATTTTGGCAGGTGTTGGCAATGGGCAGGGAGAATCCAGAAAAGCACCAGCTTGTCTGACCCCACAGGGACTACACAAAACCCTGTCACTTCGCCCAGGTGCCCCCACTTTGCCTAGCTAAACTCGGCCAAACTCTCATGAAACACAGACCAAATATCCTCCCTGGGCAAAGCACGATGAAAGCACCTAAATTCTCCCCTCCAATTTACAAATTATGGGCTTGGACCAATATCCTCTAAATCGACAGAAAATAAATCCCTGCCTAATTCAAGCCGGAAGAGAAGAGACTCCACAACTAGTCCAGGAAAGCTTCTACTTGCAATCCTGAACTGGCTCCACCACAGTAGTTTGACTCCTACCAGAAGCCAGGAACTTTGCCAGCACCACGCTGAAAATACTTTGTGGAAACGGAGCCTTCTTCTCCACAATCCGTGCTTTGATCGAATACCTGGATTTGCAGTACAACGGGCACAAACTTCTGCCCTGGGGTTCCTGTTTAGGGAGATGACACAGAGCTTACCGCACGGAGTCCTACAGAAATGCAAGAGAGAAGTCAGTCTCCGTTAACGTATTTATACACGTGCTCAATCTCCTGCTCACCCAGGGTAAACGAAAGCAATGACAGGTTCAGAATATGGAGCACAAACTATGAAGTATTTTCCGGTGTTTTATTTTCCGTCAATGCTCAGCTAGCTCGCAGCGTGTACGTGTCTCCAGAACGGGGGTGTCTGTGTATACGATTTATGTCAGCAACTATTTAAAACAGGAATGTACTTCTGTATTATCTTTCCCTGTCACTCGTTCCCCAGGTTAAAATAAGGTAAAGTTTCTGTCTCCCATGCACAAACTAATGGAAAGAAGTAAAACCAGTCAGCTTGTGTTTGGGAACAATGCATGAGGTGTAAACTGGGGCTATTTTCACTATCTGATCACCAAAACAAAAAAGTTTTACAATCTTCAGGGCTCTCATTTTTAAATAATAAAAAGGTTCAAAAAAAAAAAATAAAGGGAAGCACTTAGATAAAACTTGCAGCTGTTAAGTACAAACTCTTTATGAGAAGATTTAGGAAGTGAAGCAGGACAGAAGCCTGCAGGCAAATGAACCCAGACTGAAATGCAACACAATGATAAACTCAGCAGCATGACATCTAGAACTCAAGTAACCAACAGGTGATAGACATGATCCCTGAAAGAAAAACAAAACGCCCAGCTGACAGCACCAGCGGGGTGCTGGAGCCCCAACCGGCAAACTTCAGAAAAAAAAAACCAAGTTGGAAACTGCTCTCCAAATTCATTGAAATATCCCAGTGCAGGGTTTCCAACCATCAAGAAATTAAAAGGTGTGGTTCAGTGTTTCTTAAAGGTTATTTGATGGGGGAAAAATGAACCAAGTTATTTAAAGGGTTGTTCTTACTTGGCAGGAATTATTCAACGAAACTTCAATGTTCTTTAAAACCTATTTACTCGACTCAGTTTTGGAGCAATTTGAACCTCCCACATTCCCACAAGCAACTACCAGTTTCCTGACTCCTTGACCCCAGTCTATCTCTGGTTTAATTGGTTACAAATTCTTATTTGCCAAAATATCAGCCGTAAAGTGGGGGAATGTGAGAGGCACCGCAAAAACCAGCAAGTGAAAATAGATGCAGGTGCCTGGCAGAGGAAGTACGGCTGGAAGAGTACAGGATCTCTCGGAGCCTCCCGCTCACCAGGCAGTCTGCAACGAGACTGCACACAGGCATAAACGTGGCTTTCTGGGAAAGTTAACATTGCATTCACAGTTACCACCGGAGAAAGTGATGGTCCCCAGAGTTGCCATCGTGAGGGCAGCCTCGTGCCACGGCCAGGGGAGGTGCAGGGCTTGCCCTTCCCCGCCGGCGCAGAGGCGGCCGTAGGGACAGGGCTTTGCGCGTTCCCTGCACAAACACACTCACAGGAAAAGTTCAGCTCTGCCCACATGCATCGAAGGTTAAGAACAGGCCACGAGGACAGTCGTACCCTCCTACTTCACCCAACAGTCCTTCCAAGCCTTAACTCCTCTTCAGCTACAAACCCAAGATTTGCTCATTTGAACCAAAGCTATATAAATATATTATTAAAAAAACCCACAAATGCAAACATTTACCAAGAAAGGAAGAAAAGTTACAGTGAAATGAGGCCTTGTTATTGTCTTAAATCAGGCAAGCCAGGAATTTCCTCGAGGAAGCTTGTCTGTTTTCAGTCCTGTTCCAACTGCCCAGCTGTCTATGCGTCCTCCAAGCTACCTAACATCCCCTTGTCAACCAGGTGTGCTTTCAGCGTGTTGAAGATGTGCAGCTGCTGGTCTGGCCGCAAGGTTAAAAACTGCTGGATGAGTTTGCTCGGGTTAGGACCCCTGAAACACAAAACGCACCAGTATCAGTGAGTCACACTGCTAAATCTCAACCATCTGGGAAGCCGAATGCCATTTCATTAAAATAATAGGCTTAAAGTGAGAGCCGTGTTCCCATTCCTTCACCAGTTCTACCCAGGGAGCTTAACTCCATTTGAGATGTGGAAATGGATTCGAAAGGCACAGGATGCTGAAGTGTAAACAAAACAAAGAAAAAAAAAAAAGCGCCAAACCCCCAATCTATTTCGAGAGGGTTATGCATCTTCCCTTTTTAGCAGATGCTCCCCCTCAAAAATCAAAGCAGCCACATAAAGACAGTTCCTCAACTCCTTCAGTACATCTTCTATGAACCTACAGAATTTCTTCTATGCTTGGCTACAAAATACTTGTTAATGCTATAAAATTAGATTTTTCTGCTTGTTCAGCTCTGGAAACCCTGCTCAAGACTCACAGGAATACAGAAGGGACATGGAGGAGTTTCAGAGGGACCGGAATAACAAACCTTCAGAAATGAGGGTTGTGTTTCTAGCCCCGCATGACCCTGCCAGATGATGCTTCCCTTGTTCAAGCCTCCGTTTCCTCTCCATCTTGTATTTTCAGATGGGGATAACAACTAACGGGGATCTAACGGGGATGACAACTGTCTCTTATCACAAGCCTGTACATCACTTCAAGTTTGACAGGGCCCCCCAAACTTCAGCACAAAGCAATAAATACCTGATAAAGCTTGCGATGTACACGTTAACAAAGGTCGCCATCAGGTACTGACAGTCAAAGCGGTCCATGATACCTCCGTGCCCTGGGATTGTGTTGGCAAAGTCCTGTGCGAAGCAGAAGGGAACGGTCAGTGGGAGGGTGATGGTTGGACCAGATCATCTTCCAAGGTCTTTTCCAGCCGAGATGATTCTGATTCTCTGCATTTAGCACTTTCAAGTGCCCGTTACCTGTACTTCCTCATGTACCTCTATGCGCGACACGCATACCCTTGCTCTAATCCCTCCCGGAAGGAAGAAGGCAGAGTAAGAAGATATTTTGTTTAATCTCTCCCTGCTTTTAAAAATTTCTCCTTTACAAAGTGCCTGAGGGACATCAAAGCTCAAGACAGATCTGACACTCAAAGGTCAAGGAAAGCTGATGTTTATCTCTTGCAACCCTGTCTCAGCTTTCAAGGCATCTTCACCGAACACCGACTGTTTGTACATAAAACCAGGCTGCGAGATATCAAGGGAAGCCTCAGATTGCAAAACTTCCTGACTGGGGCTTTCTTCCTCTACCTCAAGTTCTGCACCAAAGCAGGGTTTAGAAGATCACAGTTGAAAATGTTAAGGTCTCTCCCCATTCAGATCAAAAAAAACCACTTCAGCATTTCACCTGTGACCAAACAAACCTCGCCTCCCTTCCCAACACACCCAGCCTGCGCCTCCTGGGGGAACAGGGACTGTTTAGAGCGAGTCCTGGTTTTGCCTGGGACAGAGTTAATTTTCTCCACAGTAGCCGGTTTGGGGCTGTGTTTGGGTTCTGTGCTGAGAGCAGGGCTGCCGGCACAGGGCGGTTTTAGTCACTGCTGAGCCGGGCTTGCACAGAGCCAAGAGCACATAGGCTGGGGGGGACACGGCCTGGACAGCGGACCCCAACGGGCCGTATTTCCATATCTGGGGTATTCCATACCATGTGGTGTCACACTCAGCGTATAAATCCGGGGAAGGAGGAGGAAGTGGGGGGACGTTTGGAGCGACGGCGTTTGTCTCCCAGGACACCGTCACGTGTGGCGGAGCCCGGCTGTCCTGGGGACGGCTGAGCGCCCGCCCGCCCACGGCAATGGGGAACGGATTCCTTGTTCGGCTTTGCTTGTGCACGTGCTTCTGCTTTACCTATTAAACCGTCTTTACCTCAACCCACGAGTTTTCTCACTTTTACTCTTCCACTTCTCTCCCCCATCCCACTGGGACGGAGCGAGCAGGTGGGTGGGGCTGAGCTGTCAGCTGGGGTTAAACCGTGACAGAGTGCTAACAACCCTCCAGTCTTTCTTTTCTAAAATGCGAATGACCTTCACCACACTCACCTTGATTTTGAAGGCCCTCTTAAATCCACTAGCAAAGAAGCCTCCGAATGGCCCAATGAGGGAGGCGAATGTAGACAGGGCGATGCTGTGGATTTGGAAGGGGTACATCCGGACTGTCTTCTGCAGAAAGGAAAACGTGTCAGAGAAGGATTGTCCATGAGAATAGCACTGTCCACTGCTTGTCCCTCCTTCTCTGCTCTCCAAGCTTTAGGTCAATTGGTTTTCAAGCAAGTTTATGTCCCGCCAGACTTGTGACAATTCCTTTGGGACTTCAACCAACATGGAGCACCAGTAAATTCCCCCTTTTTCTGGATGTACCATCACCCCTTGTCATGTTCTTTCAAAGACCATCAAAACAGAGCCCTGATCTCTTTCCTCTTTGCTTTTCCTATCCCAATAAATAAAATCCAACAAAGTTGGAGAGTCCTACCCAGCCCACCACAGACTGCAGCACCAAGGGGATGTTGTACTCCTGTAGCTGGAACAGCTCGGACGGCTCACAGTCCACCGTGAAGCTGTTGGTGTCATTGTTGAACTCCACCGGACAGGTGAAGCACCGGTACCCAGACATCACGTAGGACAGCTTCAAGGAGAGAGGAAAAGAAACACAGCAAGAGAAAACAGGATTAATATTTTCCTGAGCAATGGGGCAGAGCCCATATCAAGGGAAAAGGCCACTCAAGGAGACAAGGTGAGGAGGGAGCCACGCTCCCAGCTTCATTAAGAAGATTACTCTCCTGAGAAGTAATTGGCTAAAGGCAGAGTAAGCATTTTCATTCAGTAAGTGCATCTGTTCAGCAAGCAGTGATCAGAGCCCCGTACGAACAGGCTGAGACAGGCTGCACAGCTCGGTTGAGAGGACGGAAACAAGCAGACACAGATGATCATAAAAACAGGGAAAAATATTCCAAGAGCACTGCATTCCCCACACAGCCCTTGAAATGATGCACAGTATTCATCCAACAGCAGCAGAGAGAAAAACGTTAAGAATAATTGTTGTAACGAACATGTCACAGGGTCTAACGAGGACTAAAAACCTCCTCCAGTACTCTGCTCCATCTGCAGTATCTGGACACAGCATGAAACAGCCACAGACCAGTTCAAATCCTGGTCAGTAAGGAAAACGAGAAGTCTCTGACAAGACCTGGAAGAGCTTAAAGCTTGACTGCATTTTTTTAGACAAAACAGTCAACCTAGGGAGGGAAAAGATCAATGAAATAAGCACCATGACTGCTACTTACCAGCAATCCAAACAAAACGGTGGCAAAAAATCCTCCAATAAAACCCTCCCAGGTCTTCTTTGGGGAGAGCTGCCAGAGACAGAGAAGGGGATAATTACAAACCACCCACCTCCGCACACCACCACACACCTCCGCAGCCCTTCCTCACTTGTGAATTGCTGAGGCAAATACAAATTGGTGTCAACAACCAAATAAGAGTTTGGTCAGAAGCTGGCACTAACATCTCGGTCTGACACGGTTTGTTTAACTTTACAGCCTCGAAGGCTGGGAGGCACACCGAGTTTCATTTCGAGGTTTGCTTCAGACCCACAGCAAACCACAAAACTGAAGATAAGGAACACAGGACTAAGACCCAAAGAAGCCAAAACGCACGTTTCATCCACTGAAGTGTTACAAACCTTGATGAGTGGTGTCCGACCAAAGAAGAACCCGAACATGTATGCCATGATATCATTGCAAATGACACAGGAAATTGGGACGATGAACCTAGACGGGAGGAGAATCAAACCATTGGAAAGTGCCAAGATCAGACAACTCCAAGACTCGATAAAATGAGCAGTTGCTTCACAAGATGCTTTGCAGTGCTGTCACATCAACCTGGATGCAGGAGCAACCACTTGAAGCTCCTTGGGAAATCTGGAGGGATTACTCCAGTGCTCTGGACTAAAAAGCAGGTCATGTACCCAGAACGGCCTGTTTTAAGCGTTTTCTTTTGCCCCACACAACAGGTTGTTAGGCAGTCACCTCCTTTCCCCCAGAGGCTGCATTTTAGCTGTAAGCAGGCAGCTCTCAGAGCACTCCGAGCTGGTTGTGATGCACAGAGGAACATGCAACCTTCAAGCGGACAAAATTACCTCCTTGCCCTGCTGCTTCTGGGAAGACCAAAAGGGCTTCCCCTCTGCACAGCAGCTGGAGTAAGGTGGCAGGCTGCAACCTTCTTCCTTCCACAGTGCTGCTTTTAACATGATCCCAAATCAAGTGCCGAGCAGCACTTTCTCATCCATTTGCTAGATGTGGGTATAAAGAGAAAGCATCCACACGGGCCTGAGGCTGCCCGAAAGGTCCCTGCACCCCACAGCAATTTTCAGATGCTTCTTTACAACAACTCTCTGCTCGAGCAGCACAAAGCAAGTGCTAAGTCACCGAGGTATCACACAATGGTTTTATTTTCTATTCTGCTCGGGTTGGTCCCTCACAGGAAGCACCTTCTCCTTGGTCATTTGTTTTTATAAAAGAAAAAGTTTTAACTCCAAACACAGTCATCCACTTCAGGCTGCAGAAATCAAAGCAACTCAGAACACACCGACTCACCATATCATTCCTTCAAACAGGTTGTGAATGATGAGGTGCGACTGGGTAACGACGATTAGCAACGTCACGTGGGTCCATCCAAACTGGAAGAGAAGAGAGCATGCAGTCCAGCCTGCCGAGAGACACCGCCCGTACACGTGGCTGGCAGAAACCAGACGCCGTCAGCTCCCTCTCGGGCACAGAAGGGCTCACGTACACGTGCATTTCTCACATGCACCTTCACCACGACAAACACCAAGAGTCACGAAAAGCAGGGAACGGTCACCCCTAGTAATTTATGGGCATGTTCTTCAGCTCAAGCCCAGAGTTGACCTTCACTGGGGACACTTTTGCTGGAGCAAATGCTCTTTAGCCTACCCCTAGCCCAAACATCTCACTCAGTCTTCTGACTATACAAGAAGAGGAGACTGATAGACAGCCAAGCTATATCCCTGTGTGCTGAATATATTGGAAAGCAAAACTAGTTGCATTCACAGCCAAACACAAGTAACGCCCTGGTGATATTTGGGAAAAGGGGGACATAGCCAATTAACCCTGGTGGCAATCTACCCTCAGTACGAGAGTCACGTAGCCTTGCGCAGTCCTCTCTGTGCAGAAAGTTTCTTACTGGCATCCACAAGTGTAGAGAGAAGAGAATACATGACTGCAGGGAAATACAGCCAGGGCCAGCTTCCTAAAAATACTGTTTGCTCACAGGAACTTTTCTTTCAGGCAGCATTACAACACACAACCCGCACAGAAGCATCTACCGACATGTAGTCCTCTACACAACGTTTTCAAGCAGCCCACATTATCCCTTTTTCTGCCTCCAACTTAACCTTACCATGTAGAACTGCAGACGATAGTGCTTCTTCACCAGACTCAAGACAAACATGCAGAAACCTGATGAGAGACAGAAGAAAAGTAAATGGTGGGAATGCGTCTCCAAGAATTAGGTTTTTTACCATGACACTGCACAGCTCCTTAGGATTTTACTTGAGTAAAGCAGCAACACGGAGAGGGAAAACACACTACTTTGGAAATGACAAAATGCCTACAGGTAGCACCTGGACAGATGAAGCATCTGGGCTGTCCCGTACAGATTATGAAGTTTTCTTCTACAAAGCCCCATGTAAGAGATTTGCCACCACTACTCTAACCATGCAGCCGAGTGACAGCATCACTGAAAAGCAGAGATCGTTTGCTATGGATACTGCACTGGGCACAATACTCAGGACAAGAGTAGTTCAAAGAGTTTTCTTCCCTCCAGCCCAGACGAGGTTAACCTGCAGAAAATGTGTTCTCCACCTGTTAAGTACAGGGCGAAAGAAATGAAGCGGTGGTATTTGCTGAGAATTCGCAGGGGCTCCTCTCTCTGAACCAAGGTGAAGAAATAATCCGTCACAGTCTCGCCGTAGAAAAAGTAGTTTACGCAGAGCAGGAAGTACCTGTGAAAGATGCAGATCTTGTTAGCGGGAACCCTAAAAGGCTTCTGGAGAAACACAGAAAGCGACTGATCCCCAAGGTCTTTACACTGCCACGAGCAGACAAGCTTTCCTCAAGTGACAACCAGAACTTTATTTCCCCCCGTGTGGAAATGTCACCTTCATTTAAACTAATGGCTGCATCCTTCGGCTCCTCCACTCACCGCTGGGGTCTGGGTCTGGCCTTCTGATGCACAAAGCGTTTCTGCCTTTAGGTGGCACTCCTCAACAGCCTCAGCTTCTGCACCCCAAAGCGCCGGCTCGGGGCTTCCCGAAAGCCCTGCTCCTGCCCTCTTCCCAGCCCTCCCCTCCCGACAGTCAACTCTGTTTCACAACCACCTAAAAACTCCCCTCCCACCCAAGCAACCGTGTCCATCTCGAAGTGGTGACGCCTGTCAAAGCTGCCCCTGGCACAGATCATGGGATGCAAATCTCTGAGCTTCATTAACAGGACAAACTCTATCACAGAATCACGGAACCGCTCAGGTTGGAAAAGCCCCTCGGGGTCACCGAGTCCAACCCTCAGCCCGACTCCACAAAGCTCTCCCCTACCCCACATCCCCCACAGCTCATCCCAACGGCCCTGAAACCCCCCAGGGATGGGGACTCCCCCCTCCCCGGGCAGCCTGTTCCACTCTCGGACCACTCTTGCTGGGAAACATTTTCTCCTCCTGCCCAGCCTGACTCTCCCCTGGGGCAGTTTCCAGCCGTTCCCTCTTGTCCTGTCCCTGATCCCCTGGGAGCAGAGCCCAGCCCCGGCCTCTCTGCAATGTCCTGTCAGGAGCTGCAGAGAGGGATGAGGGCTCCCCTCAGCCTCCTCCTCCTCACCCTGAACACTCCCAGCTCCTTCCCTGGCTCCTCACAGGATTGATTCTCCAGCCCTTCCCCAGCCTCG